TGAGTAACTGTCTATACCTTAAGGCACTCTGGCCTAATTAAACGACGCCCTTTAAGGGTCCTGTGGTGGATTAAAAACTGATGGTCAACTTAAACACCAGTTGAACTGAATCAGTGTGGTGCTAAGTGTAGATGGTCCACCTGAGAAAAATTTCAGCATAAAAGGAGAACTGGAAGAGAAGAATTTAGCATTGTGGCTTCTCGGAAGTGCTGTTGTTAGAAGCTATTGGTTCCCCTTTGTCATGCTGGCTTCCCTGGTACAAACTCGCTCTTACCATCAGAGGAGCTCAGAACCTTATCACTGAGAATGACTGTGGTTCACTTTGGAGGAGCTCTGGTCCTTACTTTGAGCGTTGCTTCTGGCTCCAAGGGGAGGAAGGTGTGCTGTTCAGTCTCCTGGAGAAGCTTGTCACACTGGCTTCTTGATATGAACTCTAGTGTGCTCATTGTTGTAGCTAGTGGGCTTGTTGTCACCAAGCATGACTGTGGTACTTTTGGGGGGAGCTCTGGTCCTTATTTTGAGCATCTGTTCTTGGCTTCAGTGCAAAACTCTTCACTTACTGGCACAGATCCTTCATTCCACTGGCATAGACTTTTTAACTTCTGCTGTTGATGCTGGAGCCTTCTCAGAGCAGATCCATGCAACAGGCTTGCATGAGTCATTGTCGTGGGCTCTAGGTCTCCTTTTGGATTTACGGAGGGCATTGTCATGGGCTCTAGGTTTTCATCTGAATTCACGCAGACTATTGCCATGGGATCCAGGCCCTTGGCTGGTTTTTCTAGGTGTTTAGTATGTAGACAGAGTTCCTGTACTTTCTTTGTATTTGACTCTTTGGATGACTATCATAAAATAATACTATAGATTATGTGTCCCATATATGATTGTTTTCCTTGCAATCCCCTAGATAGCAGACATCCGCCCTGAAATGTTTCTATATTATGGCAATGTCTTTATTCTCATTCTATAAGGGCCCATTTCCCTGGTTCCCCCAAGTGTTTCTATATTATGTTAAACAATCCCTTTATTTCAACAAATCTGTTCAAGACTAGTCGGTCTGTCAATATATGACTCAATGCATGTAAACAATTATATAATGTTTAGTCACTTGCTTTGTATCTTCTAAATTCTGTATGGACCAAGCTCTTCCTAAATTCAGTGCTGTTGCCTTTGTGGAACTATCCTGCAACAGTCCGCTGATGTAAAGATTAAACACTGTCTTCTTACTTGGTTGGTGCAAAGAGTAATCCTTTTGGTTTGGGTTGGATTGGAAATTTTCCCACAACAGGGGGAACGGACTGCTGCTCCTATTCATAGTGTATGTGAATGTTGCATAAGGGAAACAGCTACACTCTTGAGATTACATCCAGAGCTGTTCCTCATAATCGATGATGGGGTGGGGAAATGAATTTGGTCCTCATCAGTAATGAAAGGTGTCCATGTTTTCTCAGATAGAAATAATTTATTCTTATTCACTGCTGAAGTTAAGAAAATGTATGTGTGGTATGAGTGTGTCTATGCGTAATGAGGCGAGGGGACTCCTGGAAATAACGTGAAATCTAGCCACAGAAAAATCTGGAAATCTTTAACTGGAGTAATCCAAATAAGTATCTAAATTGACCTATCCTCATACACATACAAGTATTTACTCTTAAAATAGACTAGAAACAATTTCCACTAGTGTAGAGTGGGACACTCAGTTTCTATGCTTGTTAGGACATACTGGATCATTTCTACAAGCCAGGTAGGCCAAGTTTTATTCATTTGTAACCCTCCTCTCACCTCAGAAAATGAAATTAAGGAAAATTTAGATTGTATTATAAAAAGCTTTGGTGAAAACCAGTGTGCAAAGTAAATGTATGTCCTTACCTTCATTTTTTAAAAAATGGAAAAATACATAGCTGACATTTGTAACAATGTAGCTACACCAAGTAGAACACACACTTACATTTCCACAGAGTGGGAATCCTGGCTTCCCTTAGTGTTTTCAGCCTGTGTTTATTGCCTGCCTCACCTGCGCCATCCCTCCAGTTAATTGCCGCTGTAATTACCTCCAGTGACTACTATAGAATGAATCCTCTGTTTGGGCACAAGAACAATGGTTTTCTCATTCATGTAGGGAGTTTCCTTTAAACACTGTGGGCTGCTTTCTGAATGATTCTACCACATAATCTTTCTTTTTTCTAGCATCGAATCTTTCTTTTCTCATTTTGGTTTTCTCTCCATAGTAACGTGCATTTGTTTTAGAAGCTTCAGAAAATATAAATAAGCAAAATGAGCCAAGGCAAAAATAATCTAGAGTCTGACCAAACTTACTTTCATCTCTATATGACATACATAGTCACACATGTACGTAGGGATAGAGAAGCCATCTTTTTTCTATTTCAAAACTTTCTCCTCCACGGAATGTGTTAACTGTATCATTTACCCTAATTAACTACCCTTTTTCATTTCTTTGTATCAACTACATTCCTTTGAAACAATTACTTTGTTGTCCAATATTTTTGTCATACTTCATGGTATTAGAAACAATAGTCCCATAATTATCCCTGGAAGCTGAGTTATTGTGAGCGTCCTTGATGATTTTCTTATAATAAATTTCTAAAAATACAAATTCCAGCTTAAAGTGAATGTAAGATCTTTTTTTAAATGATGGCATTGGGAATTGAACTCAGGGCCTTCTGGGTGAGCTACATCCCCAGCCTTTTTAATTTTTTATTTTGAGACAGGTTCATTTTAAATCACTCAGTTGCTCAGGCTGGGTTCCAACTTATCACCCCCTCCTCAGCTAACTACAGACTTTGCAGATTCCTGATACATATCACCAAAATGTTTTCCTGAGCAGTCACATCAAATCCCATCCTTGTGCTCACCATGAGAGGACCAGAGAAAATGTAATCAAAGAGAACTCACACACATACAAGATAATCAAATTACGATGAAGGTAAAATTCTATTTATTTCCTTATATTTCAGTCAAGAGATTTCCTTCATGCAGGTGGTTATCTGTAGATTTGGTGACTCTGGTAAACTGGCATTCAGAGGCTAGGTATACTCTCAAGTGATTCAGATTCTATAGTAATTCAATTGATTTTTGTACTGCCAGGTAATAATGAGCTGTCTGGCACAATCCCTTAGGGGGGTTTCCAGCCAAATTGAAAGGTCTAGAAATTTCATATGTAGAGTACAGGCTGTAAATAGAACTTAACTAGGATATAAAGTGACTGGAACCAGCTGCTTCCTCTGGGCAATTGTAATGTCTACTATTAAAGAATTTACAAATGAGGAGAAACTTTGAGTCACACAAATTTAGGCCCTGGGACAGGGATGACAGAGTCACAGGGGCTTGTCACAGCCCCTATTAGGTGGGTGGAGTCTGAGCTTCAGGTGGTTGGTGAGAAGACTACAGTCTCTGGGCAAAGATGACAGAGGAGCAGGAAGATGGAGGGAGGCCTAGGAAGTGTGTTCCTGTTAGAATGCGTGCAAATCACAGCCTTTGTGTTAGCTAAAGACATGGTGTTGGGCAGAGTCCTGAAACTGGCTGAGTTTTGAATCTATAAAAAGGAGGCAAGCTCTTCTTTCTTTGGCAGTTGGAGGATTTTATTGAAATAAAACTGACACATTGAAAGAACCCATCGGTGGTTGCCATATTACTCTAATGGTTAACAATGTTAACCAGTTCCCATTTCTCTTAGCGTTAGGAAAACATGGACTCTATGACTGATCATTAACCACCACCACCTCCTTTTTTTGACAATTTTTTATTCAGGGATTCTTAACAAGAACTCCCTAGAGACCATGGGTAGCTAGGAAAGGATGTTAAATTTGAATGGAAAAGAAAATATACTTAATAATTGGCTGTACACTCCTAGCCAAAGTGTATTGTTTTCTTCCATTACAACAGCATGCAGCAAACTAATCTCAACAATGTTGATCATATTCTGATTTATGGCACAAAATCTATGCATATCATATCACAATTAAAATGTATCTCAAAATAGCACTTTAATTGAAATCATATTTCAAAATGCTGTATGTTCTTAGTGGACTCATTGGAGAGCAGGTGGACAGCAGGTGAACAGCGTGTGCCTGTCTGCAGATGGGATGCAATGGAGCTGGCTGTCAAGACAACTATACTATGATTTTAAAAACATTTGGGGGCCAGTGATATAGCTGAGTGGCACAACACCTGTGTGGCAAGTGCAAGGCCCTGAGTTCAATTTCCCATACCAAAAAAAAGAAGCTTCAATGTAAAAATGGTTTGATAAAATATTACTTTGTTTATTGTTGTTTTACTTAATAATTTTATGTTTTATTTTATGTGTTTATAAATAATTATGCTGAGAAAAAAACCTGTGGGTTTCACCAGACTGGAACAGAGGCCATGACACAAAAAGATTTAGCACAATGGTAGTAAATCTACCGCATGATGCCACCATGGGCAAGCACAGCCCTCTGTCAGCACGTGAGCCACATCACCCCAGCAGCCAAGTATCAGATCTTCAGGTTTCACTGCAGTGCTGCACTTTGAAATAAGTAAGTGGGTTTGGGGCTGCAGCTTCCACTCAGCTCTAAATGGTGCCCAGTCACTGACTCAGGATCTTCAGGCAGGCGCTGCCTCAGGGAGGAGCGCAGGCCTCAAACAGCGGGGGGCCTCTTTATAATCTCTTGTGTGTTGCCCATCAATGGATATCAAAAGCAACAACATTTCTGTGGAGAATTTTCAACAGGTGAGGGAGTCATCACATCTAACACATAATTCTGTACTAGAAGAGAGAAAAGCTCTATCTGCTTCCCCCAGGAATCCGATGTTCAGAGCATCTTGGAGAAATAAGTTACCTAGCTGACGAGCGACCCCGATGGACCCTTCAACACTGACAACTTACAGATAGCAGAGGAAGGCAGGAGAGGATGAGGGAGGAAAATGAGATAAAGAAACCAGGAGACAGGAAGCCCTTGGCGATGCAAACCATCAGAGGCAAAGAGGAGAAACTTTACACAGAAGACCATGAAATTAATACTTTATTTTGCGACAGGTGATCAAGTCTGGGGGAGTGTCCCTGTGGTCTTTCCACCCCTATACCCCTGTCATTTCCCACCATGCTGACCAATGCTCTAGTCCATTTCCCATCTTCTTGCCCAGTTTTCTGCTCTTTTCCTCTTTACACATTTGGTCTTTCTTCAAAGAACAAAAAATTTTTCACATGTTAAAAACAAAATTAGGATCTGGTGGGAGTCCACAGCAACTTGTAGCATTGCATGTTTTGACTCCTTCAAATATTTTCAATTAGGATGGAATACTTTCAATTAGGCCTCCAAACCCAGGCAAGAGTTCATGTTGCACAGAACTAAAATAGTCCAAAAGGCCTCTGGTTAGAGGTATATAGGCATAGAAATGGGAAACACCATATAAGCAATGATACACAACATCTTGGGTTTCTTTCTTCTTGGTCTTAAAAGCAATGAGACATCTTTCATTTAAAACACATACACATATATACAATTGTAATTGGAAAGGCACTTTTATCCTAAACATTACAAAGTTTACATTACCTCCAGTACTGTTTTTCTCATTCCTTAAAAAAAAAGTTGGTTTGCTAAGTTCAAACACTGAAATGGGTGCTCAAACACTGAAATCATGTTAGAACGCCGGTCTTTATACACATTTATAAAAGTAGAATATGAGGAGTATGATACACAGTACAAAGTTTTACAATAATACAAGTACATGTATAAATTACAGTGAAATAGAGGAAGCTTATGGTTCTGTCTTCAGGTGCCCCTCTCAGCAGTTGTATTGCTGTAAAGAAAATGAAATGGGCATTAGTTACAATCAGGATTAAAAAAATGGTGGCATTTCTGTCCTTTACATCCCTGTTGGAGCAATACAAATTTAACTTTAGCAGAGCTTTAGGCAACCACACTTCCGGTTTAGACAAGGCTTACAAAATGTTTTCTAAACAAACCAGGCCCATTGTCTACTCCAGCAAATCGGCAAAATACTGATGCAGGTTTCACTTCGAGTGCAGTTTGCCTGGGCTTTAGGGGTTTTAAGGGATAATGCCCTGGGAGTTTCACCTTGTGTGAGCTCAGTGGAGGTAACCTTTCAAATGAAGTGCTGTAAAGCCAGCAACGGACTCCCCTGCTTACACTCCGAAGTCCTGCTCTTTGAAAGTGTCTTTTGTCTTCTAAACAGAGCTAACAAATCTTCCCAGTGTCTGGGAAAAGCTGTCCCTGAGCAGAGCAGGATGGGAATTGAGTCATGGGAGGTGGCCCTGGCTGCCAAATCACTGCTGCAGTTTTGAACACTGACTTGTTATGTCTGTCCCCAAAAATGACCCACCGAGTTTAAACTCTGTGTTGTACAAATCTGAAGGCTAAATATAGGTTGTGTTCAGAAATCCCGAGAGAATTCTTCTCTGCCCCTCCCGAAATATGCTTGCCTGAAAACAACTCCATGCCAAACGTTTCCCACCCGTTATTTTCTTGGAAATTTGGCAACACCCCAAAATAATTATTAATTTTGCTATACTTGCCTGATAAGGAAAACTATATTAACTTCCCCTCAAAATTATAGAAAGTTTCCATTTATTTACAGCAGAATTTTTCATGATAGAAATGAACTTTTAGTTTCCATTGGACTTTTGTCTCATTGTCCAAGAAAGGTAAAAGCCTTGGAACCAGAGGAGTGAATGGTTTGGAAAATATAAAGGAACAAGTTTCTGTTTGCCTAATCATGCTTTACAGAATATGACAAAAAACAAATCACTTCCCAAAACTGGGCCAAAGCTGGACTTCCATCAATTCAATAATATATATTTTTTAGGAAGATAAAGAAAAAAGAACTTTCCCCGCTATGCACAAATGCATATTTTTCTCCTAAATCATATCCTCAGGAAACAAGTGCTTCCTGGTTTTCTTTTACACGGAAAAGCTTTTCATAATTGCTATTCAAAGGCTACTAGTGCCTCACCATCCCTAGTCTCTTAGACATTTTTTGACCCTTTATTAGGAAGGCATTGTACAAAATCCAAAAGGACAGCAGTGTAGCTTACAGGTAAAGACCGAGCGTTTTGGTATTAAAGCCTGTTACTTCCAGAGGGGATCTTACACATAACTACTTAATTTCCGAATCATAGTGTTATCTGAATAATGAGTTTAGCATAGTGTCTGGTCCAGTTAATGCAATTAACTAATATTTGTGTGCTAGGAACAGGAGAGCAGGTAAAGGAGAAGACTTCCTGGACATCTCTTTCGGGTCTTTGTAACTAGAGCTGGAATAGAGGTTCTGCATTGAAGGTGCAAAGACAGCAGGTCTCTCTGCACTGAGAGCACCGCGAAGAAGCAAGATAATAACCCTGAGAGCAAAACTGAATGAGAGCAAAACTGAACGCTACTGGTGCATCGCCACAGAGATAACAGAAGAATAAATGTTGCTCGTTTGAGCATGTTTGGTTTTGTTTCTTTCTCTTTGATGGAAAGAATGATGTGTTACAACAGCTGAAACACCGGTGCCAGCACAGGCATTTTCTCACAGGTTCTTACCTGCTGACGAGAGCAGCAGTAGCCACAAATGCCTCCGAGCAATCCATTTATTATTTGAATGAGACAAAAGATGAATTCGATTCCACCGAAAGCCAAGAGGAGAGAAAAGAGAGTTACATTCCACTCTACTATGTGCTTGGGTTCCTTGCACTGGGACCACGTGGAGCTATCCATAAGGTACCTGCGGATACAAAGAGTAGCTTCTGACACATGACCTTCCTGATGGGTTATTTCATAAGCTAACTTTTAGTATGGTGGTTTTGATTCAGAAATAAAGGAGGTGAATTAATTAATGTCCTTTGTTAGATTTTCTCACAAAATGGAGAAATTTACCTGAGATTTTACTATTATGATAAACACAAAATTAAAACCCCAAAACTTCTGGCAGGGGATGGTAGCCAACATGAATCTGAACACTCAGGAGGTGAGGCAAGAAGATTCCCATGAGTTTCAGCCGGCCTAGGCCACATAGTGAGTCCAAGGCCATCCTACACTACACAGTGAGATACGGTCTCAAAAACAAGAACAAAGACAAAAATATTTAAGAACTTTTGACTCCTAACACAGGATTCTGTAGTTAAAAATCCTCACCTTAGAATGATGTTTGTGTTCTCTACAGACATATAAATTTCTGTAGACAAAAAATGAAAGTGCAAACTATATTTGTGCCATATTTAAGGTAAAATTCATAGACGTGTGGGATGTGAACTAAGAATGTATGTGGAAAAGTGAAATCAAATTATGTATTCAAGATAGCAGAAATATAGAGATTGTTTTACTTGATTTCTCAAATTTATTGTTGCCTACTTGTTACCTGTGTGAAAGGTAGGACTTTATAGCCAATATCAAGTGACTATTTAGAAACTATGATTTCTTTACATTACTTTTTTAAACTTTAAATCATTTCATTAAAATATGAAACATTCTCTTTGAAAATTATCCAGTTTATGCCAAGTGTAGAGATTTAATATGCTAGAGTTTTAAATTGGGACCTTTTGAACAAAGCTTTTTTTTTTTTTTTTTTTTGGTGTTAAGGAATAAGTTACTTTGCAACAAAAAGCAGAAGGATTAAATTCAATTAATTTGATACTTCTTTACGTTTATGATGTCCCCAAGCATCCATAATAGTATGAAGCACATGATATTCTCTAACTCAACCGAGATTCCTTAGCACTCTGCATGAATTCAGAGCTGGGGATATAATGGTGAACAAGGCACAGGCTCTGGAAGGACACAACGTATAAGGGAGACAACATGTAATAGAGAACCAACAAGTAAGATGATTAGGTGAGCAGAATGTGGAAGGAGCACTAACCAGTCCAGAGTAAATGCCTGGCTATGTCTGTTCTCCAAGGCTATGCTCCATGAAGGCAGGAGCTAGACTTGTCTATCTTTACCACCAGAAGAGTACTTGGCCCGTGGTATTGAGCACATTTTCAAAGTAGCCAGATGATAAATAACAACCTGAAGCCACTTTGGAATGTTAACAAACCATGATGAGATCATACCTGACTGCATATGTATCTGGTTTAAGACAATTTCTAAATATATGGATATTCTTCTTATCTGAAAAAAATCTTCCTCTGATTACTTTCCTAAAATTTCAACCTTTGGTGCTCCCTCCTATTTTAAAAATTTTATTGGCGTGTTTTAAGCTGTAGAGCAATGGGTTTCATTTTGGCATATTTGTACATGCATATAACATGCTTTGATTAGTTTCACTCCACAGTTGCTCTATCCTTGTCCCTTTTCTTTACCTGATCCCCTTTCTCTTCTCTAATAGTCTCCCTTCTGCTTTCTTCTCTTTTTTCCTTCTCTCTCTCTCTCTCTCTCTCTCTCTCTCTCTCTCTTTCTCTCTCTCTTTCTTAACCTTTTGATTCTTAACGAAATAGGGTTTAATCATGTGGGAAAATCTAGGATTGACTTAGTTCCACAAAGAGACCTGGTCTAATCCTTTTCTTATCACTTCTCTTTGCCTCAGCAGAACAAAGGGACTTGCAATTAGAGCCCTAACTTTGAAAGAGTCCATTAAGCCAATCAGAGGTCCATTTTGATGGTTTAAAATTCTTTTATAATTTCTCTCCTTCTGGACCTGGCCCGCTGCATGTTAGTGGAGCAAAAATGTATACATTTTCAGATTGCAATGTTGAAAAACTATTTGGTTCCATGAGCATATTGGTCAACTAATCAGTGACTTGGAACTGCTAGCTAATCCTATCTTGCAATCCCCAGACAAGTTCAAATGCAAGGCGATGGAGAAGAGGAGAAAAGTTTCTTACAAAGCTAGAGCAGATAATGGGAGAGGCATACAAGCAGCTACTAAAAATGTTTAGTGACACAACCACCTGAATTTCGAGTGCATAAATTATGACTTTTTTAAAAGGCAGATTGATGCAGTAGTTTCATGTATGTTTGTACATACATGAATAATCATTTTGTGATAGTATACTCAATATTGACAATTTGGAACACTAAAATTTGGGGGTTTTTGGCACCAGGGATCAAACTTACGACCTTGAGCTTGCCAGGCAGGCACTTGTGCTGCTGAGTTAAATCCCCTTCTAACACTAAAACTTTAAACTCTGTAAGTGCCAGTTTTCCTTCAGAGTTACCATTGTGTGATGTTCACCTTAACCCAGGAGGTAATATGAACACTTAGCAGCAGCAGCAGTGCTATAGTGAGTTAGCCTCTGCAGAACATTTCACGCATTCCATTAATTCTCATGACAACTATCCTTGATATTTTATGGATAAAGGAACTAAAATGCAGACAGATCTGTTCATTTTTTCCCCTGTACTCAGCAACTGCAGAACTTGGATGGAACTCAGGTCTAATCCCAAATTCATTATCTCATAGGGGGAAAAATATGAGAGTGTGTGTATATCCAATCACACTGTACGCTACATGGAGTCATGGAGGCAAACACTCTCAATAATAGAAGGGTAATTCGGTTTCATTATAATATTCTTTTTAATCATGAATCTCAAAACTGGACCTTTCAAAATTCAGCTTTAAAAGCTCAATCAGGAAACAGTAAACTTAGAAACAGCTATTGCTAAAGGACCACGTGATTCATTTATTTCCACATACATTGATTTCTAGCAGTTTTCCTGTTTTTGCTCCTCTCTTTATAATTAATTAAAAGTAAATGTCAGCATGGAACAATGGACTTTCTTAATCTGTCCTCACATCAAAGTTGTGAACAAGATCTCTCTTCTATATCTTGCTAAGTTAAAATAAAGGATGTGTTGTACACAATTCTGATGTTATAGATGAACATGTATGTGTATGATGGTTAGTGTATGATTGTTCTGGGTTTTTATTAAATTCATTTAACTGCTGCTCCTGTTATGTAAGGATCTATAATATTCTCTGATAAAGTGTGTTACATTTAGTTGTTCCAGCATAACATACATGCTATATGGTACAAACTCTGTATACAAATAACTGACTTACGTTAAATTATGTCATATTTCTTGGCTTCCCTTTTCTCATCCATAAAATAGGAGTAAGAGTAGAAGCAAGTTCAGAGGGTTCATATATGCATAGACCTATTAAAAAGCACTTACCCTTGTGTGGTCAGGAATTGGCCACCTATCCTTGGACACCTAGTGCCTAACCTGTGTCTGAGGCAGTGAAACACTGGATGTGCACCTGGTTTAATGAGATCGCCACTATGCATGTGTGATGGATAGGAAAGTAACCCAGATATAGAATAATTACGTACTGTCCATTAGTGTTGGCAAAGGTGTAGTTCCACTGGCCGAGAGAGTCAAGACACCACGGTCCTTCTCCTAAACCCAAAGATGCCACGGTGACACAGTAGCCAGATGCTAAGAGTCCAATAAAAGCAGCAAATATAGAAGAAAACATCTAGAGAAAGGAGAAACAAGAAGTGGGCTGACGCATCACGTGGCTGTATCTCAGGACTGGGTCACGTCATCGGGTGGCAGGACTCACCGCACATCTCTTGCCACAGTTGTCATGGCCACAGCATCCGCAGCAGTCCTCCTCCTCCTCCAGCATCATGAAGACTATGGCAGGCAGGAACATCTGGTTGGGAGGCAAGCGAATTAAAACTATTGTCCTTCCCCAGGGTCTGTTGGGTCAGGTTAAGTAGCATTGGTATATTTAACTCCTCACGGTACTGACTGATTTTGATTAGGTTGACCAAAATATTTGAAAGAACACAAAAGTCTAAAGAGGGAAAAAAAAATCTGTAATATTTGCTTGTTTTCAGGCAACATGCCAAAATATTCTCTAAAATGAGGATGCACAATAACTGTATCCTTTACTGTAAGTAAAATAACATAAATGTGTTTATTCCACCTAATTTCATAATGATGCTCCAGGTACAAACTAAACTCTCCCCTGAAACTGTTAAGTGTAGTTCTTAAATCTGACTTTTCCTCACTTGTCAAATGTAGAAGAAATCAACAAGTCTTAAATAGAATAACTGAATCTTTTTAAGTGGAGGGATTAAATCTATCTGTAATAAACAGAATCACTCTGAAGCTACAAATGTACTGTTCTGGCATGACAATAAACCTCTTTAAGTAATGTAAGTATGACATACTTGAAGTTCAAAGTCATACTTAAACAAGTTCAATGTTAAGGATTATGTTAATATGATGGTAATGTTTAAATTAGAAGCAGATTTGCCACACCTTAACTCATATACAGTGTTAGATTTAAATGTTTCAATGCTTTGTAATGAACTAAGACAAACTATTTGTGTTTGATACTAACAATCCCTAAAATTTCTCTTTAAAATTCTTAATCCCAACATTTTCAAGTTCCAAACTCAGGTTTTCACATTCTTTCCACGCTGAGGCTGAAGTTAATACTTTCAGCTCCCAGCGTGGCAAGCAAATTCCTCTCACTTCAATTAAAAACAAAGCCTGGGAAACACAGCACATTCCACTGTTAACTTCAGACACTGATCCCCAGCTACCTGTGAGATTTTCCTAGATACCATGCCCAAGCAGAATGTGTTGTAAATAGCATTCTTTGTACATAACAATGTACTCAGTTGATTATTTTTTCTTGTCACAGATGCCTGCAAATAAACTGCAGATAATTTTAATCCAAACTGTTGATTACAGCCAACCCTCTCAGATCCCAAGATCAAATGTTAAATGACTATGCACTCCAGTACCAGAAACTCGATAAGTTTCTCAAATGTTGTTTAAAAATACCTATTTTCTAGCTATAAAGTAATACAGTTAGCATACTTTCAGTTCAAAGAAGATTTTGTAAAACAACATCTAATGAAACTAGTAAAAAGTCTATCACAAACTTTGCATAATCTGCTTCCATAAAAAATGAACAACAAAAACCTCTGGACTTGCTAATATGCATCACAGAAAGCTTTCCATGGAGATAACGACAACTTCTAGTTAGCAGCAGAGAATTCTTAAAAGTTGTAGCAATTCTAAATGACTTACCAGCAAGCCTCCTCCTGCAATGCCACCAAAGAACCACACATAGCGGCTGAGGTTATTTTCAGATGCATACTTTGTTTCCCCATTGGGAAAGTAAAGCAAAATATTAGCTACGATGCAGAGCACAGCAAGCCACACCAGTGAGTGTCCGATGCACCGTGCACATTTGCCATAGCACATGGTGGTGATGGGAGCCTGTGAGGTTTTCCCCACCTTGCTCTCTACAACTCGGTGTCACCCCAGACCAGATGAGAGGTGTGCCTGTGTGTGGGGAGAGCAGAGGCAACTCTCAGCCCATTCCTGCTCCCTCTTAAATATGAGCGTTCTTAGTCACTCAGTGGATGAAGTACTTTGCTTTCATTGGTCCTGACTGCAGGCTGGGCTTGGCTGGGGTGGAGGGATGTGGGGGATGCCCCGCCCTTCGAATGCAATCCTTGGGACAAGCGAAACCAGGGGCAGGACATGAGAAACAGCCTCAGTCACAAGCAACCAAGAAAAATGATTAATCCTCCACAAGGTATTCACTGTGCAATTCCTTCTCCGGATAAAGAATCAACAGGAAAATCTACACAACTTTCCAGTAGCTGCCAAGTGTCAGCGGTGGGACCGCCCTGGGAGAGAATTTCAAAAACAGCTGACTGTGACCCCCTCTCTGGACAGCTTCCAGTGTACGGCTGTGTGTTCATTGCTACCTTGGCACTGTTTAATTTGTGACCTGGGGCAATTCTCCCCTAGCCCTGAGTTCATTTCCTTGTTTGTTAAAGACAGCGTGTCCAAACTGTCCCTCATGGATTTGAAGAGGCTGCTAGAAAAATCACAGAGCAGGCTTCGTTGCTCAACCTGTGTGAGCTCTGAATGCCCACCGTTCCTGGATGTTTGACCCCAAAAGAAATCTGCACCCTAAGAAAAGAGCATCAGGCAACAGGATGGATTCTGGCACCTTCTCATTCTTGAGTATTGCTGTCCAGCAAAGCAGCGTCAGGAAGGGCCGACAAAGGCCCAACCTATCCTGCAAGGATAAAAGAAAAAGGCAGGAGAAAATGAGAAGGAGCAGATGGAAAGATGACAAAAGGAAAAAGCAAGAGACTTTGTAAATCAAGTGAGAAAACAAGTTTTTAAAGAACGGGGAGTAAGTAAGAGAATCAAAGCCCGCTGAGCAGGGCACAGAGTAGGAAGGTGGTCCACACTGCCAGACCCTGAGACCAGATTTCCCAGGCTCCCACTTAAAGGCAGATGTGAGGTAGAAGACTCATTTCCGATGTGGTTACATTGCAATAGAAGAAACCAACACCAAGTAAATTTAGCCCTTGAAAAGCAGGTTGCTCCGGCCAGCAGGATGAGGGGGAGAACAGAGTGACCAGATGGGACCACACAGGAGAGGCCCTTCACCAAGACAGGTTTCGAAGTACAGAAAAAAATGAAAGCAGTCAAGGTATTTCAGAAGAGGGAGGCGAGCAAGGCTGACAAATCCGGAGATGTCCGCTTAGGCCAGAGCATGAAGAGTTTGTCCTAAAACTAGAAGGCAGACTACATAACGCAGTCTGAGAGAGCCATGGGGTTAGTGCCATGGAATTGGACTGGGAGTGGAGCCCGAGAGGAAGGGTGGCTGGGCTTACTAACAGGTGTGAGTCACAGTCCAGACTGGGCTGAGAAAGAAAATAAGTGGAAAGTAGGCAGGGAGGTGTGGAACCGTCCGCCTGCTCAGGTGTGCCGGACAAGGGCTTGTAACAGCATCACGCGGTCACCACCACACTTCCGAGAGCAGAGCGTGTGGGCTTCTGCTTGATTAGTCCTGCTCGGAGACAGGATCTCACAGTGAGCATGGCCTGGGATGGACACACATGTCTTCTTTCAGGTATCAGCCTCCTCTCCACTGTACTGATCTGTCCCACCTGGGTCCAAAGTAAGGGAAAGCCATCCTTTGACTGCTTTGCACACAAAGATGAGATGCCAGCTTTGTGTTACCAGCTTTGTGAACGCAGGCAAGTCACATTCCCTTGAATGTTTTCTGGTCCCTAATACAAGTTTTCTGATCCCTAATACAAGTGGAAGGCCACTAACCACTTGTTAAGGGGTTCTTAACAAGTTTTTGAGAACCTTGCAATCCTGACCCTCTTTTCAGATAAAGAAATGTACGTCTATCTAAGCAGACAAAACTTTCATCGTCTTTCTGGGGTTCACAGACTCACTGAAGCCCAATGGTGGATCCTCTTGACATTTCTCTAGGTGTGGCCTAGCTGGGGACCACTTAAAACACACATGCAAATCTGGGGTCTTTCCTTCGAGAAAATGAGTAAGAATTTCCAGGTGGGGCCCAGCAATCTGCATTTTCTGCAAACATTCTACGAATGAGTCATTTGTTCCCTCAGTTTTGGGATCACAGCCCCAAATATGTGCCCTTTGTATTAGGTGCTTTCTGAGGCCATGTGCGCTTCAGTCTCCTCAATATCACCAACACAGGCAGATCACCTACTCGGAGGACTCTCGCAGTTCAGGTGCAAGGTATTTTCAGACATAAACTGACAAAATTCTGCACTAAGGCGTCCCTTCCCCTTCCCCACCTGGTTCTTCTCTTCAGCACCCTCTGCTTCTGTGCCTCAACTGCTCACCTGACCTTGGCACTGAAGTGGGGATCTTTCTGGTTAGTCTCCTGGTCTAAGACCAAGTGTGTTCTTCTGGACAATTTCTTTAGCACTTGACTATGGTCTCCTCCAGGCCTGGCTCCAGAGATGAACCTGGCCTTTCTCCCCTCCCGGGCACTCTGCTTCCTATGCGGGAACTGCCATCCTCACAGACGCTTCTTGGGTTTTGATTCTCTACCCAACCTTGGTCCTGGCCTTAAGCCTACTGCTGCCTCCTGTTCTGAGCATTATCTTCTCCCAAAGCATTATCCTTCAGAAGTCTGTTCACAGACAAGATGAGCATCCCTAATCTAAAAATCCAAAACACACAGAAATCCAGACTCTTAAGCACTAATGTTATACTACAAATGGAAAATTCCACACCTTATCTCATGTGATAGGGTACAGTCAAAACACAGGTGCGCTAAAAATATTGTGTAAATTTATCTCCTGCCTATGTGTACAGGGTATACATGAATTTCATGTTCAGGCTTGGATCTCATGATATCTCATTATGTATAATGAAATATTGCAAAGTTTTTAAAAATTCAAAATTGCGACACTTCTGACCCCAAGTGTTTTGGACAAAGGCTACTCAAGTGTGTCAGCTTCTCAAAGATGCCCGCTCTGCAGACAAACCTAGTGATGCTCTGCCCCCAATCAAGTCACTTTCCATCACTCTGTTCTGTGATGGCCACAGAGTTTTTCAGCCCTGGAAATTATTCTGGGTGTTTCCTTGTTTCCTTTTCTATCGTCTGTCTTTCCTCCCTTCCACCCCTTACTTAGTCCATCCACTAGTGTTTCCCCAGTCCCTGAAACACAATAGCTCCTCTGTGAGTATTGTTGAATAGTTGAACAATAAGTGAGTCGATTTGCTTTTAAGCTCCTCTTACTAAGTTAATGGTCTAGGTCAGTGATGGCAAACCTGTGGCATGCGTGGTGCATTAGACTGGGTCACTGAAAGCTCTAAAAGGTTCACCTTTTTGAGAGAACTCAAAAATAACAGCAAATAATAGCATGCACAATGTTTCAGGCAATGCAGAAAAGGGAAATGGCGGGGGATGAAGGACACCTCACTAGGAGCCTTCTCTAGCACACAGTGGTAACGGAATTGACCTCTCAGGGTCACGCTGTACTGAAACAAGTCAACAACCTGTGCAAACCCTGAGACATCTGGGCATTTAGCAATCGCTCGATAAATGTTACTTATTATTTCAGGTAAGACATCTCTACTCCGGTTATGATGTCTTATGTTTACTTTTCTGAGATCCATTCCTGTGACACATGTTGGACTTATCTTTCCTGGAAAATTTTTAAATATTAAAGTTTCTACAGCTATAGCAAAACTCCCTCAAGTTCCCTCACCTCTCTGGAATCACTCTCAGTTCATGACTGTCTTTGGAAGGAGTTTTTACTGTGATCTCACGTTGAGTACACAGTCGACTACAAGACAGGCCCTGCCCATCCTGCCTTCATCCACCTGCCCCTGTCATCCCCCTGCTAAACTCTGTTCTTCTTCCAGAATACCTTCCATCCCAGCTCAGGCCCAACGGTGACTCTCATCCTGTCCTTGATGTAGCACACCCACATGATTTGCAGGAATACCATGATGCAGGAAACTCTGTCCTCCACATTCCCAAATCCACTAAGGTCTCAAGAGCAAGGACCTTCTGTATTCTTCTTTGAGAGAACAGCTAGCAGAGTGTCAAGGATTTAGTTGGCTGTCAGAAATATTTGCCAGACTTTGCTAAAGTGAATAGGGGAACTCAGTATGTGTAGTCCTAAGGTTATTTCCTTTTAAATAGAATACACATAGGTCATGAAAAGTTGGGCAAAATTGACATCTATTATATTTCAACTTGAAAATTTTAAGTTTTATGCATCATTCACATAAGCTGCTGGCATATGCTTCTTATGGCTTTCTCTGTTATCTATTTGCTGTACAGTTGAGGCTTCAAGAATAATTCTAGGGGCTGGGGATTTAGCTCAGTGGCATAAGCACCTGCCTTGCAAGCAGGCAGTCGTGAGTTCGATCCCTGGTACCAATAAAAACGAAAAAGACAAAAAAAAAAAAAAAAAGAAAGAATAATTCTAGAAAAACTCCCTTCAGTAGTATCAAGTTTCACATAAACATAAGTTTTCATGTTGAAAGCAGCCTCAGTAGACAAAATGATGGGTTGAATGTTTAGCTCAGTGACACAAATGCCTGTCTGGCAAGCACAAGATTGTGAGTTTGATTCTCAGTACTTAAACAAACAAAAAAACAATAGAGAAAATGTTCAACTCCCATCCTTTCATGAATCGTTATACCTATTTGCAATTAAGTCCAAAGTTATAAATTCTATCTGGTTAGCAGTGGAACTGGATTACCTTATTTAAGAAATAACAATAGTAGGCAATGATGCTATGTGGTTGTTGAATACAAAAAAAGATCTGAGGTCAGATTTCCTGTCTGCTAGTTACATCCATCCACATGACTTCCCTGTTGTAATGGCACTAGTCTTTTTTTCTCATCTGAATATGACAAATGTTATGATTCATACACAGTAACCATGTTCATTAGAGCCTTATGATTATAACAGCTTCTGTAACAAAAGCCAATTCAGCTGCCTTGGCAAAAGGGCATTAATTATGAACTCCGAAAGTAGAAATGTGGATGGGACTTGGGGCTAAG